CCCTATGGGGCCACGAAACGTGTGAGGGGTGTGCCAGAATGGGGGGTGGAACCGCATGCGGGCGCAGCCACTGGGGCCTTCGGTGGAGCTCCCTATGGGGCCACGAAACGTGTGAGGGGTGTGCCAGAATGGGGGGTGGAACCGCATGCGGGCGCAGCCACTGGGGCCTTCGGTGGAGCTCCCTATGGGGCCACGAAACGTGTGAGGGGTGTGCCAGAATGGGCGTGGGAGGGGGAGGAGGGGGGAGGAAGGGGAGGAGGAGGAAGGAGGAGGAGGAACGCGGGGCAACGTCTCTTCAAAACGAGGACCCAACACCACAGAATGGTTGGGAAAAATAAGAATGGCAAAAAATTAGCCTGGCGAAGGACCCAACCATATGCAGTTGTGAATGCCGCAACTTGTGCTGGGTGGTGGCGGACGCATGCGGGCGGTGCCACTGGGACCTTCGGTGGAGCTCCCTATGGGGCCACGAAACGCTGTACTGGGTGGGTGAGACGCGGTCAGCAAGGGCTGTGCTGCGTGGTGGCGGACGCATGCGAGCGGTGCCACTGGGACCTTCGGTGGAGCTCCCTATGGGGCCACGAAACGCTGTACTGGGTGGGTGAAACGCAGGCAGGGAGCAAGGGCTGTGCAGGGTGGTGGCGGACGCATGCGGGCGGTGCCGCTGGGACCTTTGGTGGAGCTCCCTTATAGGGCTACGAAGCGCTGTTCTGGGTGGGCGAAGCGCAGGGAACAAGGGCTGTGCTGGGTGGTGGCGGACGCAAGCGGGCAGTGCCACTGGGACCTTTGGTGGAGCCCCCTATGGGGCCACGAAACGTGCGAGGGGTGTGCCAGAATGGGGTGTGGAACCGCATGCCAGCGCAGCCACTGGGGCCTTCGGTGGAGCTCCCTATGGAGCCACGAAACGTGTGAGGGGTGTGCCGAAATGGGGGGTGGAACCGCATGCGAGCGCAGCCACTGCGGCGTTCGGTGGAGCTCCCTATGGGGCCACGAGACGTGTGAAGGGCGTGTCGAAAAAGGGTGTGGAACCGCATGCGAGCGCAGCCACTGGGGCCTTCGGTGGAGCTCTCTATGGAGCCACGAACCGTGTGAGGGGTTTGCCGAAATGGGGGGGGACCACATGCGAGCGCAGCCACTGGGGCGTTCGGTGGAGCTCCCCATGGAGCCACCCACGAAGCGTGTGAGGGGTGTGCCGAAATGGGGGGTGGGACCGCATGCTAGCGCAGCCACTGCTGCGTTCGGTGGAGATCTCTATGGGGCCACGAACCGTGTGAGGGGTGTGCCGAAATGGGGGGGGAACCGCATGCGGGCGCAGCCACTGGGGCCTTCGGTGGAGCTCCCTATGGGGCCACGAAACGTGTGAGGGGTGTGCCAGAATGGGGGGTGGAGCATGCGGGGCGCCACTGGAAGCTCCCTATGGGGCCACGAAACGTGTGAGGGGTGTGCCAGAATGGGGGGTGGAACCGCATGCGGGCGCAGCCACTGGGGCCTTCGGTGGAGCTCCCTATGGGGCCACGAAACGTGTGAGGGGTGTGCCAGAATGGGGGGTGGAACCGCATGCGGGCGCAGCCACTGGGGCCTTCGGTGGAGCTCCCTATGGGGCCACGAAGCGTGTGAGGGGTGTGCCAGAATGGGGGGTGGAACCGCATGCGGGCGCAGCCACTGGGGCCTTCGGTGGAGCTCCCTATGGGGCCACGAAACGTGTGAGGGGTGTGCCAGAATGGGGGGTGGAACCGCATGCGGGCGCAGCCACTGGGGCCTTCGGTGGAGCTCCCTATGGGGCCACGAAACGTGTGAGGGGTGTGCCAGAATGGGGGGTGGAACCGCATGCGGGCGCAGCCACTGGGGCCTTCGGTGGAGCTCCCTATGGGGCCACGAAACGTGTGAGGGGTGTGCCAGAATGGGGGGTGGAACCGCATGCGGGCGCAGCCACTGGGGCCTTCGGTGGAGCTCCCTATGGGGCCACGAAACGTGTGAGGGGTGTGCCAGAATGGGGGGTGGAACCGCATGCGGGCGCAGCCACTGGGGCCTTCGGTGGAGCTCCCTATGGGGCCACGAAACGTGTGAGGGGTGCCAGAATGGGGGGTGGAACCGCATGCGGGCGCAGCCACTGGGGCCTTCGGTGGAGCTCCCTATGGGGCCACGAAACGTGTGAGGGGTGTGCCAGAATGGGGGTGGAACCGCATGCGGGCGCAGCCACTGGGGCCTTCGGTGGAGCTCCCTATGGGGCCACGAAACGTGTGAGGGGTGTGCCAGAATGGGGGGTGGAACCGCATGCGGGCGCAGCCACTGGGGCCTTCGGTGGAGCTCCCTATGGGGCCACGAAACGTGTGAGGGGTGTGCCAGAATGGGTGTGGGAGGGGGAGGAGGGGGGAGGAAGGGGAGGAGGAGGAAGGAGGAGGAAGGAGGAACGCGGGGCGACGTCTCTTCAAAACGAGGACCCAACACCACAGGATGGTTGGGAATAAAAAAACCGACTACTTTGTAACTGTTCTTGAATACTAACTGTTCTTGAATACTCCTCCTGTAAAGGGACATGCCAGACTCCATGGTACCCAGACATCGGGCGGCTCGAGGAAGCCGAGGCGGCCGGTGTGTCTTCATGCGAGGCCTCTGGGGGCACCCCAGGCCGCCCAGGAACCACTCAGGGTGAAAAGCCGGCCCCGGGGAAATGGTCGAGAGGTCTGGGACCCTGAGATCCATCTCGAAAAAATGGAGACATCGTGAAGATCACGACTGGAGCCCCAGACCCCATCTGTCTGCTCCATTTTTCGAGTCGGATCCATCCGTGAGGGCCCAGGGGCCTGAAGCTGGGCGAAGACGTCCGGCTCGAAAAAATGAGTCGCCAGGATCTCTGGGGAGAGGTCTGGGAGGGCCATGTCGCGACAAGAGTAAGCCGCCCGACATCTGGGTGCAGACCCCTCGCAGCCGAGGCCGCGAGGGTCTGCACGCCATCGTGGGGCCTTAGAGGGTGACTCTGGCTGGGCACGGCGGTGTACTATCAGGAAGCTGAAACACACACACACACACACACACACGAAGACACACACACACACACACACATACACACAAACACACACACAAGCACACACACACACACACACAGACGTGAGACCTCGGCGTCCCAAGTTTTCCGAGCTGGGCGGTTGCGCCCTTTGTCGAGCCCCGGGACCCTCGCAGATCTATCCGGCTCGAAAATGGCGCAGAAAGATGGTGCCTAGGGCTCTGGGCGTGATTTTGTACGACGTTGCATTTTCTTCGCCACGTCGGATCTCAGGGCCACACACACACACACGCACATGGCTCGATTCACGTGAGGGCCCGCGTGCCAGTGCTGGAGCGACTCGTGACCACGTGCGTGCGCGCTCCCAGCCCCCGCCGCACGCCGCCCACGCCACGTGCATCCAGCCTCCTGGCCGGTGCCTCCTGCGGAGATCCCGGCCAGTGCTGCGCGCGAGAGGCGCTCAGTCCGAATCGCTGGAGCTGTCGCTGTTGGAGCTGTCGCTGCCCATGACGTCGCTGTCGCTGCTGGGTGCTGGCGCGGCGCCCCTGCCACGGCCCCTGCCGCGGCCGCTGCCGCCCCTGCCTCTGCCCGCCGCGGGGGCCGCGGGGGCCGCGCGCTTCGCCGCCTTGGGCTCCGGCTTCGCCGCCTCGGGCGCTGCGTGGTGCGGGGCCAACATGAACAAACCGGGGGCGGTGACCAAAGGTGCCCCTTTCGTGCACCTTAGGGGCCTCCACAGGGGCCCTGTTTGGGCCCCCATCCAGAGCCCCTCTGCTGCAACCCTCGACCACTCCCCCACGCCCTCTGCATCGCCCCCCGCTCACGAAACGCCCGACCGCCTTCTGCTTGGGCTTCCTCTTCGTCGCGCCGGAAGCCTTCTCGAACTTCTTGACCATCGGGTGGTTCCGGTACACGGCCATGTCCTTCTCGTACTGCTCCTTGGACGCCGCCGCCCTGTCGTCGTAGCCCTTCTTCTCCTCGGGGGAGATCTCCTGCCACATCTGGGAGATCTTCTGGGACAGCTCCTTGAGCGGCAGGGCTCCGAGCGTGGGCCTCTTCTCGTTGCAGTAGAGGAAGTAGGCGCCCTGGGGGGCCTTGGGCTTCTCCGGGACGCCGTCGCCCCCCAGGAACTTCTTCTTGGCCGTCACAACCCTCTGCTTCTTGTCCGCGGCCGCCTTGAGGCGGAAGTACTTTTTGCCCTCCGCAGTCTTCATGAACTCCTTCATGTCCTTCTCGTACTTCGCGGCCAGCTCTTTCTGCCGGTCGGTGTACTTCTGCTGCCCCTCGGCGCCGAGGGCGACCCAGCCGCTGGCCTGCTGGGCCTTCGAGGTGCCCGTCCCGCTCGCGCGCTGCTCCTCCATGTAGAGGAAGAAGGCCGTCTGCGGCTTCTTGGGCATGCTGTCCGGCTTCGGGGGCATGTCTACGGTCTTCTCCTTCTTCTTGCCTTTGCCCCTGCCCTTTCCCTTGCCGACCTTCATCTTTCTGCCTGTCAGGCAAAAACAAGCAACCCGTTTCGGCGATGGCCCCGTTCTGCGACAACCCAGTCGCATCCCCAAGGTGAAGGCAAGTGACCAGAAAGGGGGTCTGGAGGGTGGGGAGAATGGGACACTTTGAAATGGGGGTCGGGCCGTTGATCTTGTTGACGATGGAGAAGTACTTCTTAGCCTCGGGAGTGGCCTTCCACTCTGCCAGACTCTTCTCGTACTCTTCCTCGCCTCGCTTCGCCTTCTCGGACCACTCCTGCTTCTCTTCTGCGCTCAGCCCCAACCACTTCTCATTAACCTTGGGAATTATGGCTAGGCCCTTCACCTCAGGATGGTCCTTCTGGACCAGGGCCTTTCCGACCTCGTTGGCCCACAACTGCATGGCGTTTGGGGCTTTCTTGGGCTCGTGCTGCAAGAATTTCTCCTTGGCCACCTTCAGCTTGGCCCGCTTCTCTGCAACGGCGACTTGCTTATTGTACTTCTTGCCGACAACTGTCTTACCCCACGCCTCAAGATCAGCAGTGTACTTATCCGCCAACGTCCTTTCGGCGCGGCCGGGCGTGCGGGATCATTTGTTCCAGTGACCCCTTCCCCGTCCTCAAAGCAGCCCCTGAGATCCCAACAGTAGAACACTGAGACCGAGCATGGTGCTGTGTGTGCGTTTGCACTTGTGTCGGGGGTTGTGCGTGTGCTGCGCGTGTGGTTACGATTATAGATCTGTGTGTCTGGTGTGTGTGTGTGTCTGGTGTGCGTGTGTGTCTGGTGTGTATGGTGTATGTGTGTGTTTGTCTGTGCTTGTGTTTGTGTGTTTGTGTATTTTTGTGTGTGAGTGTGTGTGAGTGCGTGTGAGTGTGAGTGTGTGTGTGTAAGAGTGTGTGTAAGTGTGAGTGCGTGAGTGTGTGTGTGAGTGTGCGTGAGTGTGTGTGTGAGTGTGTGTGAGTGTGTGTGTGTGAGTGTGAGTGTGAGTGAGCGTGTGAGTGTGTGAATGTGTGAGTATGTAAGTGTGTGGGTGTGTGAGTGTGTGAGTGTGTGGGTTGGTGAGTGTGTGCGTGAGTGTGCGAGTGTAAGAATGTATGTGTGTGAGTGTGTGGGTGTGTGAGCGCGTGAGTGTGCGTGTGTGTGTGTGCGCGTGTCTTCCACCAGCGCAGTCACTCTGCCTAGCCGCCGACGCGAAAGTGTGTGCGTGTGCGTATGTGTGTGTGCGCGTATGCGTGTGTGTGTGTGTGTGTGCGTGGGTGTGGGTGTGGGTGTGGATGTGTGTGTGTGTGTCTGGGTGCGTGTGTGTGTGTGTCTCTGTGTCCGTGTGTGTTCTGTGTGTATTCTGTGCGTGCGTGTGTTTTTCTGTGTCTGTGTGGGTGTGCGTGTGCGTGGGTGTGTGGGTGTGGGTGTGTGTGGGTGTGGGTGTGTGTGTGTGTGCGTGCGTGCGTGCGTGTGTGTGTGTGTGTGTTTGTGTGTGTGTGTGTGTGTGTGTGGAGGGGGGAGGGTGCGGGGGGAGAAACCCGCAGTCGGAACAGCCCGGCCCGTCAGGCGAACACCAGAGGTTCGTCCCACGAACGGCTCAGCAGAACAGCCCAGCCCGTCAGGCGAACAGAGCCCGGCCCGTCAGGCGAACACGCCGGAGGCCGCTCCCGAGAACCCATTCCGAACCATCGCCTGATCGCAAGGAGCACTGGAGTCGGCGAGTCGGAACCGGCGACACATCGCCGATGGATCCGCGATAGACCCCCGATAGCGAATCCACTCGATCCTGGGCGGAGCGGGCCATCGGGCCCCTGTCGGCGATGAGTGGTCGATTGGGGGTCGATGCATCCGCCCTTAAGCCCTACCCCCTATCATTGAACTTGCTTTCGGCCACGCTCTCGGTGAGGCACAACCGCTGGAAGGTATCCCGAAGCTGGCCTGGCAAACCGCCGAGCACCGACGAAAACCTCCGAAAACGTGTGCGCCCTTGCAGCGTTGCACTGAAAGCTCCTCCTCCCTGAAAGGCCTCCCAAATGGGATCCGAGCAGATGGGAGCGGAAAACCACGCCCGCATCGCCGATGCATCGGCGATACACTGGCGACGCACCGGCGACGTCAGCGGGGAGAATATGGGACTGTCCCCCGACCTCATCTGCTCGGACCCCATCTAGGAGGCCTAGATCTCCGCGCGTGCGCACGGCCCGCGAGCGCGCTCCCCGCGCCCGAGAGGCCAGCGGAGCAGGCGAGGAGCGGCGGGAGAGAAAACTGCGTGAAATGTGGATGGCGGTGGCGGCACCCATCGGCTACACTTAGGTCGGGCATGTCCTCCTACAGGCGGGTTGAGAAAAATCTAAAAAAATCGGAACCTAAAAAAACCGACAAAAACTCAAAACCGACAATCGAGAAAAACCCAAAAATTCACCGCACAAAACTCGAAACATACAAAATACCGTAGATGATATTGTTATATATATATACGTGAAAAAGATCGTCCCCTGAATACTGTTTACACTATGTTTCAAAATTCCTCCTGTAGAGGGACCGCCAGACTTAAGGCTACACGCAAGAGCGGCCCTGGGTAAGAACGGCCTCTGGTGCGCGGCATTCGGGAAGCCGCGGAAGGGCTGAACCCGAGCGCGCACGACGCACCTCTCGCATCGCATTCGGCGATCGGCGATCGGGGAACCACATTGGGCCCGCACCAAAGGGCACCCTGGCGAAGGATCACTCTTACACGCGGTCAACACAAGCCTCTGGCGCCCCGACGACGCAGAGTCGAGCATCGGCCGAGCCAGGGCCTCGGCCTCTGGAAGCCCGACTTCTTGGGGAAGCACCAGATCAGCCCCCACCCCGTCGCTGCCCTTCGTGGCCCCGTTGCAGCCCTTCGTGGCCCCCTCGCTGCCCTTCGTGGCCCCAGATATACATGCCCTTCGTGGCCCCCGCTCGTTCGCGCCCGTCGTGGCCCCATATGCATGCCCTTCGTGGCCCCGCTGTCGCCTTTCGCTGCCCCCATCGCTGCCCTTCGTGGCCCCGTCGCTGCCCTCAGTGGCCCCGCTGTCGCCCTCCGCGGCCCAATATACGCATGCCCTTCGTGGCCCCCGCTCGTTCGCGCCCGTCGCGGCCCAACGCGCATGCCCTTCGTGGCCCCGCTGTCGCCCTTTGTGGCCCCCTCACTGTCCTACGTGGCCCAGTTGCTACCCTCAGTGGCCCCATCGTTGCTTTCTGTGGCCCCGCATTATCTGCCCTTCGTGGCCTCCGCTCGTTCGCGCTCTTCGTGGCCCCATACGCATTCCCTTCGTGTCCCCGCCGTCGCCCTTCGTGGCCTAGTTCGCGCCTTTCGTGGCCTTGCTGTCGTTCTCTCTCTCTCTCTCTCTCTCGCTCTAGCCTTCGCTCGTCTTCGTCGTCGTCGTCGTCGCCGTCGTCGTCGTCGTCGACGTCGTCGTCGTGTTGGTCGGTCCCCTGTTCGTCCCTCTTGGGGTCGGGCTGCCGCCGATCAGCATTGCCGGTGGCCTTGCCGACAATCCGCGGCCGCCCCGCCGCTTGCCGGGGCCCGGCCTGCAGGGAAGAAATGTATACCCGCCAAAAGAAGTACGATCGAAGACGAAGACGGCGGGTATCGAGGGTTTGAGACATACAAAATACGCGTTAACGGACACTCGAGCAGATAAGAGCGAACAGTCTTGAAATGATTGTTATTGGTGTTGTTGTTGAACGCGCACTTTTGAAAAATAGTTGTTGTTGATCCTCCCCGCCCGGTGCACATTGTATCTGTTCGATTGTAGTGCCCCTCCCAAGTCTCGCACCCTGTTTTTATCGAACAAAAAATTTTGAAGGTCAAACTGTGTCGTCGGCCCCCAGTTTACAACAACAACGGCTCCCGCCTGAGACTTCCTCACAGTGTATTGAAGAATCGCGCTCTCGCTTTGGACTTCCTGCCAATTTACCACCGAATCGCGGCTCCCACCTGATGCTTCCGGACAAATTATTTCAGGATCGCGTTTTCGCTTGGAACTTCCTCGCAACTTACCACCGAGCCGCTTCGTTTGATATTTCTTCAAAATTTATTCAGACGCGACACTGAGGAATCGCGTTCCCGCTATATATATATATATATATATATATATATATATATATATATATCCTGGCGGTTCAAGCAGGACTCACGCTTCAACGACCCGCCCGCTCGACCCGCCCGTCGGGGCCTGCGCGCCCGACCAGCTCGTTAATAACTGCAGTCGTCGCTCGCTGCCGTTCGCCCGCCTTCGATGCCCCTCGCCGCCCGTACTGGTTCCTCGGTCGCCTTCGCTCGCTGCCCTTCGTGGCCCCGTTGCTGCCCTCAGTAGCCCCGTCGCTGCCCTTTGCGGCCCCGCATTGTATGCCCTTCGTGGCCCCCGCTCGCACGCGCCGGTCGTGGCCCCACACGCATGCCCTTCGTAGCCCCGCTGTCGCCTTTCATGGCCCCCATCGCTGCCCTTCGTGGCCCTTTTGCTGCCCTCAGTGGCCTCGCTGTCGCCCTTTGTGGCCCAACATATGAATGCCCTTCGTGGCCCCCGCTCGTTCGCGCCCGTCGTGGCCCCATATGCATGCCCTTCGTGGCCCCGCTGTCGCCTTTTGTGGCCCCCTCGCTGCCCTTCGTGGCCCCGGTGCTGCCTTCAGCGGCCCCGTCGCTGCCCCCTGCGGCCTCGGATTTTATGCCCTTCGTGGCCCACGCTGGCTTTTCTCAAGATTTCTTGGGAATCGCGCTATCGCTCGAGACTTCCTCGGGATTCATGCAGGACCCACGCATCAGCAACCCGCCTGCTCGACCTCGTCGCCTGGGCCCGCCTTCCCGACCTGCCCGCTAAGGGTCTGCCCACCCGATCTGCCCGTCTGGTTCTACCATTTGTTTTCTGCTCATTGCCCCCCTCCTGCTAATTTCTCTCGTGTTCCATTCTTTTCCCTCCCCCTTCTACCCGTCTTTCCTTCCCCTGTTTAAAGGGCCTGCACTAAATACACGTGGCAGGTAAGGAAGATATACGCCCAAGGGGATACGATCTAAGACGACGAGGGCGGGTACCGAGGGTTTGGGATATACATATTGATTGGCACGTGAGCAGATCTGAGCGAACAGCCGTCAAACTATTATTATTATTGATGTTGTTGCTGATGTTGTTTTTGTTGTTGCTGTTGTTGTTGGTGTTGTTGTTGGTGTTGTTAGTGTTGCTGCTTGTGTTGTTATTATTGATGTTGTGGTGTTGTTGGTGTTGATAGTGGTGTCATTGTTGGTGTGGCTGGCGGTGCTGATATTGTTGTTGGTGGTGGTGTTGGTGTTGCTGTTGGTGTTGGTGTTGTTGATGTTGTTGATGTTGTTGATGTTGTCGTTGCTGCAGTTGCTGTTGTTGCTGATGTTGTTGTTGTTGTTGCTGATGGTGTTGTTGTTGTGGCGGTTGTGGTTGTGGTTACGGTTGTGGCTGTGGTTGTTGAACTTTCATTTCTGAAGAAAATTATTGTTGATCCCCCACCAGTGCATACAATTTTTTCTCCATCGAAGTGTGCCCCTCGACGCTCGCACCCTGCTCGTTGACA